CTCAAGTCACTATTTTCACCATGTATCACCCAATTCAATCTCTCTCCTACACGTTAGCATTTTTGCTCTCACTCCCTTTTCTAACGTTGTATCATCCTAACAATCGAACTCACATCAACACCTACTTCCTCACACCTCTCACTTTTGATTGTAAATTCACGACCCAAACTGCAATTTGTCCAATTTGAACACCGAAATCCACCTTGCCCAAATGAGGGAGTGGTCGGTGGATGGTGGCTTGACAGGGAGATGATATAGGTTGGAGATGGTCAAGCGAGGAGGGGGAGAAAAAAAAAAAAAGAAACTCTATATTTTACATTGGTTCAAGTGCAACACCAAAATTGAACCAAATATAGTGGGAACTTAGTATAATTTCAAAAAAATCATGACATGTCATGCAGATTGTTAGTATAATTAAACCCCAAAAAAAATTCATTTACTTTATGGAAGAATTATACTTTATACCCTAAAAGATTTAAAAAATTTTAATTTGTATTATTAAAGATTAACTTTTTTATATTACACCCTTCATATATTAAAAATATTGTAATGTAACTTTTTTTTTTAGCTTTTGTTATTTATTCTGCTAAGAACCATCTTATTAACATTGGTGAAATAAGCAATAAAAATAATTAAAGGAAATACTACAATAATTTTAAAATATTAATGGTATAATATGAGAAATTAATATTTAAAAGTGCACAATAAAAATTTCTAAATTCTTTGGGGGTATAAAGTACAATTCGCCCTTTATTTATTGACAGTAACAAACCATGGATCTTTTAAGTAACGACCACAACTCACGCAAGCAGACTACTCTCTCTCTCTCTTTCTCATTGGAAAAAATCTAATAGTAAAACTCCGGAGCTCTAGCTTGGCTCCGTCTCTTCATTATCTCTCTGCATTAATAGAACACTCTACTTCGTCCATTTCCTCCTCCTCCTCCTCCTCCTCCTCTCTCTCCCTCTCTCTCTCTCTCTCTCTCTCTCTCTCTCTCTCTCTCTCTCTCTCACTCTCTCTCTCACTCTCTCTCAAACACACACAACACACACACACACCCCATTGTAATCCGTGTAAATCTAGGGTTCTCTTTTTAAGTTCACACGACCGTCCACATCTTCCCATTTGATTCCCTAGATCGCAATCAATTTTAGATTTCCAACTCAGATCTACGCACATCACGATTCAAATACAGTAAGTTTTGTTCCTGTACTTTCGTAATTCCGATGGATCTTGGTCCCATTTGTTGTTCCTGAGAGTTATATATATATGATTCCGATGCTCAATGCTTTATATTTGTTGATTCTGTTTGATAATTAATGCAAAGTTTATGGTTGTAATTGCATTGTTTGGTCTGGATCTGCGTGTTGCTGTACGTTTAGTTGAAAAGCTATCGTTTTCTTTATGACTAAGTTCAGTTCATTCAAAACATTCTGTATTGATTCTCTTTCCAATTTTGAGTTGAAAATTTTGCTGAATAAAAAATCAAATGGATTGGAAATTCGATTCTGATTTATTTTTTGCTTTTAATTTGTTGTAATTATACGGTTTTCACTTTATTTGCTTGAATGTCGGTGAATTGGCTCAAGCGGTCTCTTTCATCCCTATGCTTTCAATCAATTATTTGTGTCATTAGTCATTTGACTTTGGTTCACTGCATTATTTTACTCCTTGTCGGTACTATCTGACAAGTTACAATGAAAATTTTGGATTAGTGTGCTATCAAACATTCTACTGTACTACCAGCCACTGTTATCACACCGGTTGTGTGGGGTGTTTTTTTTTTTTTTTTTTTTTACCAAAATTGTTTGCTAATTCTCAATAATTTTGGAATTATTAATTTTGATAGCAAAGATATATTTTCTATTTTTGCTAGTGCTCTTGGCGTAAAATCTTTGGTTGGTACAGTTATCATTTATGGTATCCTAACATTTTCCCTATAATTTGTGAAAATGGGAAAATTTTAAGAAGAAGTAAAATTCAGTTACTTGAAATTATGTCATTGTTTGGATTTCGATGGGTTACACATCCCTGGCTGAACGGTCTATAGCTGTAAGATTGACAATTTAATTGAGCTTTTTCTTTGTTTGGATGTCAGCTTTTGAGATTTAAACTCTAAAAGCTTTAGAGATTTGAAATTAGAATTGTCTTTCTAATTTTAGGGTGGTTGATTTTACTAACCCTGTCTTTGGATTCTGAGAGAACTAGGGAAAATCAAGAAAATTAAGTTTTTTTTTTCATTTCAAAATCAAGAAAATTGAATTTGCCTTCTAGGTTTCCATATTGTCTCTTCTGCTCCTATTTTTTTTTTCTGCCACCATGCAGACCATAAAAGCCCACTTGGAGAAGCGGATCTATCTTATGGCTTGATCATCAATTTTTTAATTTTTCATTGTGGTTAATCTTTTCTTCCACCCAAGGATTAAGAAAAAAGAAAAGGGAAAGTTCACTCTTTTTTGACATGACACAAAGCACTTTTTATTATCAATCTCATTTCATAGTTGGCAATTAGTTGAGTGCAATCTTAGTAACAAACGATGCTCCACTAAATCAGATATGTCAATCTGCAGTTGGAGTAGGTTGTTTCTGGCTCTGTACGTTGTTCTATCTTGTTGCTGTCAAACTTAATACTAAATTATTGTCCTATTATAAAAATAGTCTACCATTTGCCCTATAATTTAGTCAGATCATAAATTAAAAAGAATGATGTATTTCATTGACTTAAATATTGCATCATGGGGAATGTAAGGGCTTAAGTTCTTAGTAAAATGTTTCAAGACTTTGTTGTCGGTCCTGAGTATTGTGCAACTACTATCATGGTAACTGCTTTTGAAGCTTGATATGCTTGTAAAATATGCTGATTGGTTATTGATTTGACTTCACAGACTGTTATGTTTATTTACCTAATCTGTATTTGAATTGCATAGACTTTAGGGAATTGTGGCAGCATCTCTAGGAATTGAGCCTTCAAGAGACAAGATAAGAGCTTATTTTTGGTGGTGAATTTTGGCATGACATAGTTCTGGTGGGATATCATCAACTGTTGCACAGATAACGTAAAATATGAGGGGAAGATCAGATGGATTGCAGAAGAACCGCTTGCTCACTTTTGTAGGTGTTGTGGCAGTTTTTCTTGTTTTTCTATATGTGTATTTTGGCTCTAAGAACAGCGGAGAGTCGGCTATAGAGTATGGCAGCCGTTCTTTGAGGAAACTTGGATCATCTTATTTGGGTGGGGATGAAGAGACTGATATTGGCAACAAGCAAGATGAATCTTCAATCAAGTTTGGGCTGGAAGACGGAGATTATGGTATAACACCAAAGAGCTTCCCTGTAAGTTCTCTATAGCTTAGCGGGATTTCAGCACCATTCCACCCCCTTTCCTCTTCTTTCCCAGGGAAAAAATAACTCCGTACTCTGTTCTTATGTTTCATGTTTTTGATATGATTTAGCTACCATATTTGATGCTTTGCTTCAATTTTGAAGGTTTGTGATGATCGACACTCAGAGTTAATTCCCTGCCTAGACAGGCATCTTATATACCAAATGAGACTGAAGCTGGATCTGTCTTTGATGGAGCACTATGAAAGGCACTGCCCTATCCCTGAAAGACGGTATAATTGCTTGATTCCACCCCCATCAGGGTATAAGGTGAGAATATGCGGCCACAATTTTAGAACTGATGTTGAAAAATATTTTTTTGCATGATTTTATTAACTTTTAAGCTTTTGTTGGCTGCTCTGCTGTGACAGGTCCCCATCAAGTGGCCAAAGAGTAGGGATGAAGTGTGGAAAGCAAACATACCTCATACTCACCTTGCACACGAGAAGTCTGACCAGAATTGGATGGTTGAAAGAGGTGAAAAGATAATATTTCCAGGGGGAGGCACTCATTTCCATTATGGAGCTGATAAGTACATTGCATCACTTGCTAATGTAAGACTCGTAGCCCTGACGCATAAAATAAGTGGCAACAAAAGTGTAACTTCTAATTGTTGAATATCTTTTTCAATACAATACCTAGGATCATTAGTTCGAATGATATTTTTTCCCATGATATTTGTATTTAATGCATCTTAATAATAGTACCTGTGGTTTTTTGTTGGCAGATGCTCAACTTCACAAATAGTAATTTGAATAATGAGGGAAGATTGCGAACAGTTCTTGATGTTGGTTGCGGGGTTGCAAGTTTTGGAGCTTATCTTCTTTCATCCAATATAATTGCAATGTCCTTAGCGCCTAATGATGTCCACCAGAATCAGATCCAATTTGCCCTAGAGAGAGGAATTCCAGCATATCTTGGGGTTCTGGGGACAAAGAGGCTTCCTTACCCAAGCAGGTCTTTTGAACTTGCTCACTGTTCTCGTTGTCGGATAGATTGGCTTCAGAGGGATGGGATCCTTCTACTTGAGTTAGACAGGTTGCTTAGACCAGGAGGCTATTTTGCATACTCATCTCCTGAAGCATATGCACAGGATGAAGAAGATCTTAGAATATGGAGAGCAATGAGTGCACTTGTGGAGCGCATGTGTTGGAAAATTGCTGCAAAAATGAACCAAACTGTTATTTGGGTCAAACCTCTAACAAACGATTGTTACATGGAAAGGGAGCCTGGTACTCAACCTCCTCTCTGCCGGTCTGATGATAATCCAGATGCAGTGTGGGGTGTGCCAATGGAAGCTTGCATCACTCGTTACTCTGATCGTAAGTATCTTATGTTTTTACTGTTTAAGTCATGGTTTATGTCTTCCATTAACTAAAGTCATTGTTTACATCATATGCTTGTACATTTGTATTTTTTTTTTTTTTGGGGGGGGAGTGATTTGGAGGAAGAGGGGGTAAAGACTTGATTAAAAATCAAATATCTTATTGCCAGTTACTTTATTTATGATTCCTAAAATAGGAATGAGATAATAGACAAATCACATCTTTGTAGAATTTTTTTTTACAGATCTAACTTGCTAAAGATGATTTTCTTGTAAACAACATTCAAGGGACAGTCCTGAGAAAATTGAATGTGACGAATCACTATTTACAGCGATTTGATGTAACATTTTTATCTACTGTACTCAATAGGCATATGGGCCATCCAGGTTTGGGATAATATCTCACCCGCTATTTGTCGAATTGTAAGTTGTCCTATAAACATTTTCGCTGGTCATAACCATTCATCTGTCAAGCTATGCAGATGTGTGGGTAGTGGGCTTGGGGCTTCCCCCCTTTTCTGTTTTTCCCTTCTAGAAATTCTTTATTTCATTTTGGTCAATGGCATTCTTGTTTGCTGGATGTTGACTCATTTAGTTTTATACATAGTTTTCAGGTCTTATTAGATTCTATAATTGATTTTTTTGGAACTCACAAAATAAAGTCGTGTAGACACTGAAAAAATATAGTGAGTACAGTTCCCTTTCTGAATAGATAAAATGGCCAAAGAAGGATGTATTGGTTTGTTTGTTTGTTATGTCCTTGAATCTGTTGTTAAACTGACGTCCTCGACTATTTTATGCTAGCTCTTCTATCATCCTCAATTTTCAAACTTGAATGTGGAAGTCCGATTGTATTTGTCTAAAAGAAAAGGAACTGGATTGGAGGCAAAGTTCCAAAAAAATGTGATGATTTTGGAAGCTAATATCTACAACGAATGTTTTGCATATATCATTAAAATAACCACATTAAAGCTAGATTTAAATTCAATGTCACATCCACTTGCCAATAATCTTATGGGGTAGATGGTCATCTTTGACATCATCACAGCAGCCATGAAGCTACGTAATAGGTTCCGCACTTTGACATCTTCTTTGTATTAGTGCCAAATTTGGTTCCCAAAGTTTTTCTTTTTATCCTGTTAGGTTCTATCGAACCTGAGTATTATACTTTTTGGATTTTGTGGCATGTATTCATGTATGTCTTGTGTCCTTTTGATAAAAGCCATGATTTGTAAGTTCTGAATTCTTCAGATCAGTCTACAATATTGATGCCCTTCTATTAGGTCATCAATTGAAAGAATGAGGCTTTGGGCTTGAATAATACACCTAACTTTTTTCGCCTCTTTATCAGATGACCACAGAACAAGAGGAAGTGGACTGGCGCCTTGGCCGACTCGATCAACTGCTCCTCCTCCCCGTCTTGCTGATTTTGGCTATTCAAACGAAATGTTTGAAAAGGACACGGTAATCTGAAGCATTAGTACATTCATGTTGTTTGCCTGTGCATTTGCATGTTCAATGATGGAACAGCAAAAGACAAATGTGGGCTTAGCATTCCTGGTATATGCACAGGAACTTTGGCGGAGGAGGGTTGAGAATTACTGGAATCTCCTGAGTCCAAAAATTCAACTAGATACTCTGAGGAATTTGATGGACATGAAGGCGAATTTGGGGTCATTTGGAGCTGCACTGAGGGAAAAGGACGTTTGGGTGATGAATGTTGTCCCTGAAGATGGACCCAACACTCTCAAGTTGATTTACGATAGAGGCCTGATTGGCACTGTTCACAATTGGTATGCAAAGTCAACTTGTTGAGAAGTGTATCATGCTTGTTATGGATCTTTACATAATTTTTTGTCCCCAAACTCTGGTATCTGGTGTTCGTACAATAGCTTCTTTTTGTTGTTTGCATCCCAGGTAGGACTTTTAAGGTCGATTGGGTAAGGCTAGGTGCACCCAGGCCTAAGCCGAGCTCGTGCCAATCCCAGACCAACCCAACCTCAAATTGAGGTTTCTCTGACTGAGCTCAACCATTTTTTGTTTGGGTTTCTCAGAATACCTAGTTTCCGTGAATTTCAATTTAAATGATGTGTAAAGTGGGCCACTGCACAATCTAACCCACTGCTGGAGGCCCATTACTTGGCTTGGAAAATGTTTATATAGAGAGGAGAGAATAGAAAGCTTTATTTTGTACATGCTTCGGGACTAACCAACAATAAACTTGGTGTTCGCACTATCCCACATGAAGTTTCTGTGTACTTTATGCCTACATGTCTTAAATATATTGGGTCCCGGGCTTTGGTTGCTCAAGCCCTTGGGTTTGCTGCCTATGTCTGCAGCCCAAAAGCCAACCCAAATCAAATTTGCTGGAGGATTGTAATCCAGGGACTTGCATGAGTTTAAAGAAAATCTGGCTAAGCCTCTGTACAGATTCTGGGCTGGGTTTGGATTGTTTGAGTTAGGCCTACCTTGCAGAACTAATCCTAGGGATGGAGGGAGCTGCATATTGCTCGTGCCTGTGATGTGTTTTGTATGTTGAAAGTATTTCTTCAGGTAATGAGAAACTGATAAACCTACCCAAAGAATGCCAAGTGGTGGTTAATGATGCATTTTTCTTATGCCTTACTAATCTTGTGATAATTGTTTCTACTTAGTAGAACCTATTTGACATTCATTAAGTGGCCAATGATTTTTTGCTGTTGTCAACAGCTTTTCTGATCACCTAACCTGTAGGGTGGAGCATTTTTGTTTCACTGGAACTCGGTTTTGAAGTCCAAATGTAGTTGCATTTTATTATGATTCACTTGGTGATTCACACAGGTGTGAAGCCTATTCAACATACCCCAGGACATATGATCTACTCCATGCCTGGACCGTATTTTCTGATATTGAGAAGAAAGGCTGCAGTGCAGAGGATCTACTGATAGAGATGGATCGCATGCTCAGGCCTACTGGTTTTGTCATCATTCGGGACAAACAACCTGTTATCGAGTTTGTGAAGAAGTATTTACCTGCGTTGCACTGGGAAGCAGTGGCAACAGCAGATTCAACTTCAGATACGGACCAGGATGGGGATGAGCTTGTGTTTGTCATCCAGAAGAAGTTGTGGCTAACAAGTGAAAGCTTCAGGGATTCAGAATAGGAGAAGCAGAGCCTCCTTGTCCCCTGACCCACACGCCCCTATTTATGTTGTCTCGTGCTCTTAGCGTTTAAGAATCATATCCTAAGAGCAATGGAGAATCAGTTTCATTTTGTAGTATTAAGTGATATTTTGTTGGTTCTCCTCACCTTTACTATTTTGTTTTAGTTGATAAATCATAGACCACTTGCAGCTATAGGCTATTCTTCATTGTTTTGTATTCCAAAAACTTACATCTTGTGTTAAAGAATTCTCTTTACCATTCATTAATAATCTAAAGTTGGGAGGTATGCTGCTTTTTAAGTTATGTATATGAGAAGTGGCTCTTAAACTGATTTATTGATGAATCTAATGGTGCCGTGGGAAGAATGTCTTCTGTTCTTATGGCTTTTTGTTATGCCACTGAGTTGATATTTCACCAAATGAGGGATTTATTTGTACAAATTAGGTTTCCACTTGAATGCGTGTTTGTACATAAATACATCTCATTTGAATACATGGTAAGTGATTTCACTCTCGGATGCAAAGGTAGGGATGCAGCTAAGTCAGGGTCCTATCTTTTTCCCTTAATCCCACAATTTTAAAGAATGTTTCACGGACTTTAGAAATTTATTATCAATGCCTCTTTTTTTAAGCCATGGTGATACGACATTGTTATACAAAGAATCAACGAGTTTTTCACAGCACAAAAAAACCTTCTCAAAGGAAAGTTATGTTTCTAGGCAAAGTGAGGGAGAGGCTAAGAAATATTCTGTATATCATGTCAATTGTCAGTTTGTCAGTAATGACTGTTATGTTATAGAGGAGTTTATATAGGTAAACAATAGGTCCAAAAGGACGTATCTTTTGGCATTATTTATTTGGGTCAACCCACAATAAGCTCCCCAATTCGGATCCATGACCCAACCCGATATCTAAAACTTTGGTATCAATCTTACTATTGTGATTGTCAACTGGGGCAATGTAAATGGAGACACCCAACACACTGCATGTAGTCAGAAAAGAGGTGTTCAAAAGTGTAAGCACATGCAGTGTCTTTGGGATCTATCTGGCAAAGCTCAAGTGACCTGTTTCCTAACATGATGAATCCCTCTGGCTAAGGCTCAGTGAGTTCCCCCGTCACTGGGGTACATATGGGACTAGGGAAAGCCCATCTTTGGGACTCTACTCATCTGCTTCAACCCCCATTCCCAAACATCTTAGGCAGCATGGATACAAGATTATTGAAGTGAAGTTTGGAATCGTTATGGTCTCTAGGTCACTGTTGCATCAATAATCGTAGATTGATAGAAATGGCTTTTATATCGGTTAATCTATATCCCATTCTACAGAAATAATATTTTTATCACAAAATCGACAAATGATCCACCCTTTTTTCTCCCATTGTTTTCCGTCATGCGTCTAGTACCTTCTGGTCATAAAGAAAATATTAACGGTTTATGGAAAAAATTAATTTCCTCTAATAAATTTAGATTATTTTTTGTATTTTAGCGAGAGACTCACTTTTATATATGGTGGATCACTTGAATTTAGGGCGGATGACGTACTGTGTTGAAAAAAAAAAAGTGTAACTAAATGGATCAAATTCCAAGTTTTCTCCTTTTGTTTTGCTTAAGTGGTGTTTCTTTATCTTTTCTTAAAATTGTACGTGATTAAGTTACATATGGTATAGGGGGATAAGAGAAGAAAAGGAAAATCAAGCATAAGAGAAGTAAATACAATATTTTCTCTTGTTGGGCTAGAAAATACAGTATTTCCTCGTGCGAGTCTTTTGTCTCCTGCCTAACACACTATTTTTGAGCCCATTTGTTTGTTTTTTTTATCTTATGATCGAGAACCCATTAAACCATGTATTTTTTAGGCTCGCAATTGCTACATAATGCGCATTGGGTCGACCAAAAAATCTTTATAATAATCAAACTTGGAATTTCAATGTATTAACTACAAAACTATTATTATTTGAGTTAGCTCCATGGAACTTAGCACACTTTGTCACCATGAAGGAAAAAGCTTTCAAAATTCTCTTCGGAGTCATTAAGGTGCTTCATTTTTCTCTTTTTAAAAGTTTTATCGACTTATGTTTCATTGTTTGCTATCTGAAATACGAAAAATACTATGCATCCCAAATTTAAGATTTGCAAATGGATTGAAATCCTTGGATAAGTGAGAAAGACTCGCACGAGTTTAAGAAAGCATAAGATGCTTAAGTTGTGATGAAAGAATAAAAGGCAAGCATGAGTTGCTTAGAATTATAGTTCCCCTAAACTAGAAGTAAAATTGAAGTTAAAGATAGGCATTATATTCAAGGTGAATCCCCTATGCACATGTTATTGTCAATACGAAGTCCTAGTGTTGCTGTCTTTGGACATAAAGACATATATATGATGGATGTATGGCCGTGTCAATCGAATCATCGCATTACAGATTTAAGTTGTATCATTTTGAACTTGTGTCAAGTACTAATCAATTTTAATCCAATATACTTATTAATTGTGTATTGTTCATATCAATACGCAAAACCCATGAACCTAGAGGGACCAAAACTCCCTTGCCTAACCCATCAAGGCCCACAACCCTTTGACTCTTCATCAATTAAGAATATACTTGATCTAGATGGTACGGAAAAAATGAAAATATAATTAATTCTTTAAGAATTCATGAATAACGAGAATAAGAAAGATTAATAAGTCGTTTTCCTATCGGGCTTGCATNGCTTAAGTGGTGTTTCTTTATCTTTTCTTAAAATTGTACGTGATTAAGTTACATATGGTATAGGGGGATAAGAGAAGAAAAGGAAAATCAAGCATAAGAGAAGTAAATACAATATTTTCTCTTGTTGGGCTAGAAAATACAGTATTTCCTCGTGCGAGTCTTTTGTCTCCTGCCTAACACACTATTTTTGAGCCCATTTGTTTGTTTTTTTTATCTTATGATCGAGAACCCATTAAACCATGTATTTTTTAGGCTCGCAATTGCTACATAATGCGCATTGGGTCGACCAAAAAATCTTTATAATAATCAAACTTGGAATTTCAATGTATTAACTACAAAACTATTATTATTTGAGTTAGCTCCATGGAACTTAGCACACTTTGTCACCATGAAGGAAAAAGCTTTCAAAATTCTCTTCGGAGTCATTAAGGTGCTTCATTTTTCTCTTTTTAAAAGTTTTATCGACTTATGTTTCATTGTTTGCTATCTGAAATACGAAAAATACTATGCATCCCAAATTTAAGATTTGCAAATGGATTGAAATCCTTGGATAAGTGAGAAAGACTCGCACGAGTTTAAGAAAGCATAAGATGCTTAAGTTGTGATGAAAGAATAAAAGGCAAGCATGAGTTGCTTAGAATTATAGTTCCCCTAAACTAGAAGTAAAATTGAAGTTAAAGATAGGCATTATATTCAAGGTGAATCCCCTATGCACATGTTATTGTCAATACGAAGTCCTAGTGTTGCTGTCTTTGGACATAAAGACATATATATGATGGATGTATGGCCGTGTCAATCGAATCATCGCATTACAGATTTAAGTTGTATCATTTTGAACTTGTGTCAAGTACTAATCAATTTTAATCCAATATACTTATTAATTGTGTATTGTTCATATCAATACGCAAAACCCATGAACCTAGAGGGACCAAAACTCCCTTGCCTAACCCATCAAGGCCCACAACCCTTTGACTCTTCATCAATTAAGAATATACTTGATCTAGATGGTACGGAAAAAATGAAAATATAATTAATTCTTTAAGAATTCATGAATAACGAGAATAAGAAAGATTAATAAGTCGTTTTCCTATCGGGCTTGCATTAACTTATAGGGTCAAAAGTCGTCATCCCTAAGCGATAGCCATTTTTTTCCCCAATAAAAATAATTATCAAAAAATTCCGATATTATCATTGTCCGTGAATATTTTCAAATTCTATAAAACTGTTATTTGTACCTATTATTTGTCATTGTATGATTTCAGTATCTCTACAATAAATTTTATTATCTGTCCCTGACAAGGCCAGTTAGTATAATGAATGGGACATGGTGGAAAGCTAAATTTCAAAGGCAACCTTTTTCCTTTTCCTTTTCCTCCTTTGCCTTTTCCTTTTCCTTTTCCTTCACTTAAATGGATTGAAGATGATCATTTTTCCAGCTAAATTGATTGAAGATGGTCCCTCTTGATTTCCTCAATTTGAGGTAACCACCCCACCCTACTTAATTTGCCCATTCGTGGGGCTTCCATTGACCCCAACATGTTCATCTACAACTAAGAGGGAGTTGTGATTAACGGGTCAAAGTGGTATGACAATATCTTTCGAGAAGGTGGAAAATGTTACATAATTTAAATGTAATTTATAAAATTGCAACCTAAATAAAAATCGTCTATTTTTTTGGATGATGGGTCCCATTGTATTTGAGTTATAACTTTGTAGATTGTATTTAAGTTGTATAACAGTACAAAAATTGATAATGCAAACTTTACTTATATGGAGATTGTAAATGAGTCATGGTGGGTCAAGGATAAAAAATTGTGGCCCGATGGTTTACTGGTAGATCCTAATGGATCTTGATTGGTTTGATGGGCCTTAAATGGGTTATAATCAAATTTTTGAAAAATTTGGAGGCCGATCCACTTTTTTAGACTTTTTTGACAAAAAAGTTCACTTAGAAAAATTGGGAAGATATAAAAAGTGTCATCGGTTATACAATTATTATCTCCAAATCAATTTAAAAACTCTTTTTAATGTTAAACAATCTATTAAGGGAGTTTTAGTAATTAACAAAAAAAAAACTCAAAATGAACTTAAACTACCAAATAAGATTACT